TCCAAAAGGGGCAACAATATGCGTGGGCTGGGGGACGTCTGCTCGGCGAAGGATCGCACGCGCCTTTTCCAGAGCCTCCTGCTTCTTGAGATTCCAGCCCAAGTTGGTGAGAACGAAGATGTCTCTATCTGCTCTTGGGGTGCTGGCCCATGGCGGACCCTTTTTCCTGAAGGAACCCTGGCTTGACTGGGTTTCTAGTTGTTTGGCTGCCATTTCCGCGCGCAGAGACTTCTGCTCCAGTTCGACAGCCAGAATCCTTTCGTTGAAGGCTTTCTGCACCTCGGTCTCACCTGCCTCCAGGTTGGCCAGCTTTACTTCGTGGTCATTGATCAAAGTGACGGCTACTGAGAATTCCTGAGCCAACGCCTTTTGAGTTCCCAATACATCAAGTTGTAACGAGTCGATACGGTCCTTGATGGGAGCGATCTTTTTATCTAGAAGCGACTCGAGTTGCGCCAAAAAACCGTCGGCACCTGTGGCTGTCGAGGCAGCCCCTGAAGAAATTGAGCCATTCTCTCCCAGGCCTGTACCCTTGGCGGATCCCTTGGCCGCCAGTGTTCTCATTGCCTTCGAGGCCTCTTGCTGATTTTCTTTGTCTTCGTCTACCATCCGAGCATCGTCTCTCAGTCTTTTCTGCTTATCGATATCTAAAGATAAGAGCTTTTGCATAGTCTCTCCAATCTGCAATGTCGGCATGACTGAAAGTGTTAAGTACTATCCAGTTACCCAAAATTTGAGACGTAAATGAAGCGCCGAATTGACACAAACCAACAAAATTCGCGAATTCGCCAAATTGAGTCGATATCCCACCAATGGAAGTGATATCCCAATGATAAATCCCACTGATTGAACCCAAATTGAATCGATCTTGCTGAACCCGAAGAAGACGAAGAAGGCAGCGATGGCTGCCGCGCCGCCCGCGGCGACGCACCCCCCCCCCCACCAGCTAGACGCCTGTGGGAGCCAGACGCCTTGAGCCAGAGACGGCTTGAGCCAAAATGACGGCTTGAGCCAGAGACGGCCAGAGACGCCTTGAGCCAGAGACGCCTTGAGCCAGAGACGGCCAGAGACGGGCGCTCTTGTAGCGTATGAGACTCTTCCAGCGCTTCCACCTTCCGAGCCTCTGACTCCCCTCCTGGCTGCGATCGGGCTTGAGGCGATCTATCCACGTCCACGAATGTCTCATCAGGCACGGTACAAAGTGCAACAAGCCCAACATCTTGGCGACAGTCTTCAACTTCGCCCAGAAGGTGAAACAATCGAAGGACCACAGCCGGCCGCCCTTCTCCTTCAAGGCCTGGAGGAAAACGTGACCCCACGGCAGCATGTGGGCCGAGACGATGATCAGCGAATCGTCCGCATCGCCGGCCTGGCTCCTCTTTTCCCTCTCTGAAGGATGCAAAAGGAGGCTCCAGTACTGCGACACCAGCGGTCCCGGTGCCACCAGGTTGGCCGAGGTAAGGTTGAGGAGCTCTGGCCTGAGGTAGCAGCTGACTCCGTTCATCACGGCGACACCCATGACAAGCTCGTCCCGCCTCGCGAACTCCACCGCGACGGTCCACCAAACCAGCATGAGAGCGGGCGTCTTGCCGTCGAGACTCCTCTCCATCTCGTCGGCCGTAGTAGTGCCATCGCTGTCCACGTCGGCGGCCGCGGCGGTGGCAGCGGCCGTGACTGCTGCTGTAGCCCAGGCGGGCCTTTTGGCTGCCAGAGTCACCAGGGACCCTCTGGTTGGGGGCACCTTCCCAGTATCCAGCATCGAGCGTGTCTCCGGTCGCAGCCAAGTAGGCGTCGTCGTTAGCCCCGTGGTCGCTGAAGGCGGACAGGAAGTCGTCATCGGACGCGCTCCGACCGTCGTGAGCTAGCTCCTCTGGCCAGCGATGGTTTGGCTCGGCGCCTCCAGGCTGCGGGTCCGCATCATGGCAGTCGTGGAATACCGTGCAGGCAAAAGAATCTGGGTTCTCGAGCGATTCGGGAACTTGAGCCGGCACGTCGACGGACCGATGTGGATCCGCAGGCTGAGGCAGGACGTCTCCGGGTCCGTGTCCGTCAGCCACCAGGCGAGTGAGATCCTTCGTGGAGTCGTAGTTGGGGTCGTAGATACGGGACCCAGCGTCGCTACTGTTGAGCTCTGAGGGATGCCACCTGAACCCAAATCGAACCCCTCGGCCCAAAGCGTAGGCCGCGATTCGTCTGATCTGCACCAAGAGTCCGAAGCTGCGGGCCCGAAATCTTTCACAAGCTAATATAACTGACATATTATCTCCCAATAACAATACTCTGCAGAATCCACCTGGAACGCAAATACAAACTCTTGCGACAGCTTTGACCAGGACGCGGGCCTCGAGAATCAGGATATCCTCGGAGTAGGCCCACTTGCCATGCAAAATCAAGCGCCACCGATCCCCGTGGAGGAGGGCCCCAGGAATCTCAGGGAAATCCTCACGCATCTCCCAAGCTCCAGCTTCCCGAACGTCCGAAGGGTCACGCTCTTTCTCATCGTCGACCTGCCAGCGATCGGTGGTGGGTGAGTAGACGAACCCCGCGGCGGCGAGGGCACTGGCCCGAGCCGGCAACCCTCCGAGTCGACGGAAACGAGATCGCTCAAGAATCCTGCCCTGTTTTTTCACCATCGACACTCCGAACTCGGAGCTGGCTATCCCCCAGCCGTACGGGCTGGCGTCCACGGACAGTACTTGCGTGAGCCACGGCCGATCCCACTCAGACCGAAGGAGCGGCATCAGCCCGAGGAAGCACTCGAGCTCCTGACGTGCGGACTCCCACATGTCGCTCTTGGCCCAGTACCGCTCACGGATGAAGGTGTAGACGGTGTGCCGCACGGACAGGGTCTCCCGGCACATCAAACCAACGAACGTACGGTGGCCAAGCAATACTTCGAGCTCTCGCCCTGCCAGGCGCCGCAACGAGAGGGCCCACCGCAGGCCGAGTCTCACCTTCCAGTAGCGCCGGTGGTTGACGAGGGTCTGGTGTTTCTGGCCATCGAGCGTCACTCCCAGCGCTTCGGCGGTGTCGGAGTCCACCGAGATGTCATGCATGACGAGGCCCGCGGCGTCGAAGGCCGCGATGGTGTCCGCCAGAGCCCCCTTGACGTAGGAGGCATCGAGCGACATGAGCCCAACGTTGTCGACGTATACGTAGTGCCAGGAGGAGGTCGGAGACAGCACGATGGGGGGCCCTCGATCGGTGGCCACGCAACTCGACGCCACCGCGGGGACCCGTTCCACCAGGCCGAGGTTGGCCACCTGAGCGAAATAGAGCGACCACGTCCAGCCCATGGGCAACGCGAGGGCGCATGGCCAGAGGTAATCGTCAGCGCGAGCAGGCACCCCCTCCACCAGCTGCCCGACGATGCCAAACTCCTTGGCCATGCCGCCCGGGTAGCAGAAGTACTTGGAGAGGTGGTTGCCGAACATCATGCGGTGGAAGCAATCCTTCACGTCAGCTTTGCCCAGGAAGATGGGCAATGTGCCGGTCTGCTCCGCGTCGCACTCGATCCGACCAAGCCCTTCGGTCGACAGCAGCTCGACCCCAGGAGGGGTCACGAAACGTTGATTGGAGCGGCGACAGTCGAGCACCATCCTCATGGAGGCGCGCTCCTTCTTCCAGACGAAGAAAACACCCACGAACTCCTTGGGATCGCGGGTGAAGCCCACCAAGCCTTTCCGCTTCAGATCCTTCACGAAGGTGGAGTACCGGCGGCGACTATTGGCGAGCAGGGGGTCGGTGTAGATCTTGATTTCGCCATTCGTCTCACGGTCAAGCTGGGCCTCAGCATCGGCCCTGATCATCTGCTCCTCTGCCTCTACCAGATACTCGAGGGCGCGCCCCGTGACCAAGGTTCCCACGGCCGGGGCCGTCGAGACGTCACAAGGAAGAGAAACCGCGCCCCGTTGGTAGGGTGCCAGGGTAGTGTAGGCCGTCTCGGTGTCGTAGACCCCGCGGCCTCGAAGTAGCCCCTGAAAGGCCTCCTTCGGAGAAAGGTCGGAGGGTGGGTCCAGATGCGTCTGGACCCCCTGGGCGACTCGCACCAGCACCTCACGTTGAAGTTGAAAACGGCATGGATGGACGTCGCCACGAGCACGTCGGGCGACCTCACGATGACCAGCACCCCACAACCAATTTAATGAGCGCACACACTCCCGCCAATCCCTCACGAACCGGCGCTGGGCACGCCCCTGATGGTGGATCCAGAAATCTGCGACGAGGCTGAAGTCGTCGGGCAAAGGGAAGACCTCCGCGGATCCGCGCGCAAGCCCAGGAAGGCGAACGGCGGGGGTTGGGCCAGTCCCACCGCCGAGGGTCACATCACTCATTGAGTCTCCGCCGCGGCGGCGGCGCCTTCGCCTCCCCTCGGGGCTCCACGGCCCGATCCTTCGGAGGGCTGGCCCGCCACGACGGCGACAGGTGCACTGCGTCCAGCGGCAGGGGGTCCGCCAGCAGCGGCGGCGTCGGCAGAGATCAAAAGGATGCGGGCCTGCACCCGCACGGACTCGACCTCGGCCTCGTCCACGGCCGTCATGGCCACGTAGTGCCCCAGCTCGGGCGCGACCATGACCACCGCAAAACCCACGCTGGAGTGAAGCCCAGCGCTGGCCCACTGCGGCAAGCCCCATGTGGGCCGCATTACCCTTAAACGTGCTCTGTAATAAAAAAAAAAAAAAATAAAAAAAAAACAAAAAAAAGAAAGAAAAAAAAAAAAAAAAAAAAAAAAAAAAAAAAAAAAAGAAAACAAAAAAAAAAAAAAAAAAAAAAAAAAAAAATAAAAAAAGAAAACAAGATAAAAAAAAAAAACAAAAAAAAATAAAAAAAAATATAATAAAAACAAAAAAAAAAAAAAAAAAAAAAGAAAAAAAAAAAAAAAAAAATAATAAAAAAAAAAAAAAAAAAAAAAAAAACAATAAAAATAAACAAAAAAAAAAGAAAAAATTAAATAAAATAAAAAAAAAAAAAAAACAAAAAAAAAGCGGCGCGCTATGCACTCGAAGATGAACAGCGACGGCTTGTTGAGCTGGTCGTAGGAGCCCCCCTCGTAGATGACCTCGTAGGGGGCGGAGCTCTCGTGTATGACCTGCTCGTGCGGCCAGAGAATCTTCGAGCGAGACCAGAGGTCAAGGCACCTCCTGACGATGTCGCCATGCCGATCAGAGTGACTGGGGATAAACATCGGGTAGGCCCGCGCCTCCACGGGGCTGTCGGTCCACACAGTGGGGTAGCTCTCCATGACCTCATTACGCCATGACTTGAGCGGGTCGTTCATGGCGTCAGTGTCCTCCCACGAAGTGCGAACGTCGCTCGGATCGGCGGCGTCTGCAGGGGCGGTCGGCTCGGATCCATCGCCGTGGGAAGGCGCGCGGCTCGGCACGATCTCAACACGCCGCCCGAAGTAGATGGGCGCGCCGCCGACGTAGCGAACCGCCACCTCGTAGGCCGAGGTCTTCATGGTCGCGTAGTCGGCCACGTTGATCCCAGAAGCGCTCCGCATAGGCATTGTCTCGCCGTCGATGTCGGCGACGCTGCGGTCACCCACCCCGATCATGACGTATGCGTGCAGCACAGGGATTCCCAACTCCCCGATCCGACCAGGCTTGCTGGCCAGCCAGCGATGACGCTCGCCGTCGGCGGCCAGCATGCTGCCGCCCGCGTACCCGGCGCCGCCAGGTGACTCGGCGGTTCCCGCACCCGCGTCGGCGACAGGTGGGTTGCTTTCCTTGCCGGCGAGCCTCACCTGCTCGCCCTGGGGACGGCGGCGACGGGGCGGGCGCTGGCGGCCATCCACCGACAGGCAGTATGACGGGCCTGCTGGCGTGTGGCGATCGGGCTCAGACTCCTGCAAGGACGCCACCTCGATGCGGGCCTCCACGATCAGCCCGTGCAATGCGTCGTCCGTCAGGAACATTGCGAGCGGCACAACCTCCGCTACGTAGTACGGCAGAGACCTCGACGACTGACCCGTCGTCAGAGGGTACACCTTGTCCCCGTCCTTCTCCTTTCTCCACCTACATGTCGCCGCCGTCCGTGTACACGATCCAGGGACAAACGTCACATGCCCGCATGATGACGCGCTCGTGCCTGAACCCGAGATCAGGGACGAGCGACTCGAGCAGCTGCGTCCCCGACTGCCAGTCTCGCTCCGCTGCGGATCGCCCGGAGCTGCGTCGAGTCGGGCCACGTAGCACAGCGGCTCAAGTACAGCACGAAGAGCTCCTCGAGGACCCCGAACCCCAAGCGCCCGGCGAGAGCGAGGTCGGCCGAGAACGCGAGGCCTCCCACGCACGGCCAGAGGACCTCGATCGCCGCGGCACCGTCGGGCGCGAGCCGCACTGAGGGACCCAGCGAGGGCAGGCCCGGCGGCCCGGGCGCCACTGAGGTCGGGCAGGTGCCAGCAGGAGCAGTCCCACAGCGGAGGCTCCGAGCCCCAGCCGACGGCCGCCGCGCGGCCTGGGGCTGCCAGCGCGGAGCGCCCAGCAACGAAGCCGGCCACCCAGTCCGAGAGCGAGGGGGCTATCGCGGCAATCCAGGTGAAGAGTACTGCCTGGGATGGTGTGGCGGCCATCGAGCGAGAACCCGTGCCTTTGACGCTTGAGCCCGAGCGGTTGCGATGAGCAACGCGAAGGGCCAAGCCTGGACACGACACCCGAAAATCCTTTCTCATCATTCCCGTGCACGCACTAACAAACATGAAGCAATGATGAATCAAATCCCACCAGCCCTCTGGGCTTAGGTGGTACGACGCGATTTGTTCTTCTCTCTTCCACTGAACCCCCACCCCCCCCACCCCCTCCCCCGGGCCTGGACGGGGCGCGCCGCGAGGCGTTAGAGCGTCCAAGATGGCCCAAGATTGCTCCAAGAGGCGTTCGAAGTCGCAAGATGGCCTCCAAGATGGCCCATGTCACTTCAAGATGGGCCAAGATAGCCTCCGACCTACCCCCAAGGCCCCAAGACAGCCCCAAGACGGATCCAAGTGCCCTTGGAGCCCTCCACGGCGCTCTCCAAGATGCCAAAACCCTTCAAAACCCTAGGGAAAAGCAATGTGTTTGGCATTCTCGCCTTTTCGCGTCCGATGGGCTTTGGAAGCCTCAAGATGGCACCACGATGGCCCAAAATGGCCCCAAGGGGAGCCCAAGAAGGCCGAAGACGGCCCCAAGATCGCCCAAGAGGCGCCCAAGAGCGCTCCAAGGCGGCCCCAAGACGCCGTTTGAGAGCCTCGGATGAGGGGATCCTGATTGAGGGGCCTCCTCTTTTTGAGACATGGGGCCCAAGATGGCCCCAAGAGGCCTCCCAGCCTTTCCCAAAGACCCTCCACCCCGCCTTTTTTGGCCCAAGATGGCTCCAAGAGAGCTCTCGATAGCCCAAGATGGCCTTCAAAATTGCCTAAGATAGCCAAGCATGGCTCAAGATAGCCTCGGACAGACCTCCAAGGAACCTCAAGACAGCGTCAAGATGGCCCAAGATAGCCGAGCATGGCTCAAGATAGCCTCCGACAGCCAATAGCCGAGCATGGCTCAAGATAGCCTCCAAAGAGGCCTCAAGAAAACTGGCAATCAATTCTGGATGGGCTGGTGGGGATACTTTTTTTCGGTCGCGGCCGCCAGCGAAGATGCTGGCGGCGAGCAGGGAGCCCGGGCCAACTGGCAAGCCTAATTAGCTACAAGAGGCGCACTAGCCGGCCGGCCCACTCGCAAAGCAGCCGCGAGGCTGTAGGGAGCTGACGGCTAGGGGCACCCTGGGAAGCTCGGGCACATGCAGCGGACAAAATGTCGAAGAATCCGATGCCTGCCGCGAGGCACGACCCACACAATGACAAGACGTGCACCTGAGCAACCGCGTCCGTCATTCTACATGGGGGCAGGCGCGAGGCCCGAGGAGCGAGTCGCCAGCGGGGCGCCAGGCTCCAACCGTCCCAACGTCGCGCGCGAGCCAGGGGGGCTGAGCTGTCGCGGAACGTGGTGCGACGCAACCTGCCAGAAGCGGGTAGGTGAGCCTGGGGCGCTGCAGCTGCTGCGAAGGGCTGAACCACTCCGTGACGATCCCAACGCCCGCCAGTCCACCACGCAGCGCATGGGGGACACCCGGGCGACTGCGAGCCAAGCCCGTGCGCAGCGGCGCGGCGCCGGGCCCAGGGTGAGAGGATAAGGCCAGGCAGGCGTGGTGAGCATCGCCAGCGAGGCAGGGGAATCCAGAGGGGCGCTGCGCTGGCGGTGGTGCTGCCGCCTGAAGTACGCCAAAAGGACCGAGGGACAAACTTATCCTCAAGTATACCGAGTTGGCTGTACCTCCCGGGGCACGCGTGGCGCGTGTCCAAGCAAGCGTGCAACGTTGCAACTGGGCGGGGCGACCTGGGGGAAGCTGCGCTGAAGCAGGCAGGAGAGCCGACGGTCACCATGGTCCGACCCTGCCCGCCGCTTCCGCACTTCCCCGCAAGACTCGGGGCCGCCCTCCATCACGCACTACGCGGGCCTCCAGGGTCGCAGCTAACCGCCGCTGAAGGTGGGGGGCCTTGCCACGGACAGCGAGGGACAAGGGCGGCCCTGGGGAGGGGGGACAAAACCAACGGCGCCTGTCGGCACGCCTGGCGAGCCCCGGGGCCAAGGGCGGGGGGCGCCCGCCTGGCCCGAGAGGGGAGAGGCGAGGGGAAGCACCTCCACGCCCCTCGACCGGGCCCTGGACCCGTGGGCCAGGGGACATGGCCATTCTCGTGGGTCCTCCAGGGTCGCAGCTAACCGCCGCTCAAGAGCAAATAGTACCGACTGATGGGTCCTTCGAATGGCGTTGATGCCGTGTGATGGTGCGGTCCAGAGTGGACCTCCTGCCATGCTGAATGCTGGTCTGCCAACGCGGAGACTGGCACCTCAACGGGGATGGTGGGCGTCGGTCGTCCAGGGTCGCAGCTAATCGCCTGAGAAGTCTAGTGTGACAAAACTGTGACCTGGCTAGGTCGAGCTCGCCGACAGGCAGGCGGGGGGGGATGCTGTGGCCCACCTCCGGCCCCTGGCACGCGGGCCGGCTGTCGTCGTCGGACAGCAAAGTCTATGCCCGGGAGGCCTGCCTGCGCGAGCCAGGCTGGCCCCGCCGTGCCAGAGAGGGTGAGATGTCGGGCGCTGGTGGGGGAGTCCCTCCGCGTCAGGCCCGAAAGGAAGATGGTCGTCCACTTATCCAGCGTGGGCTGTCTAGCTAAGCTGCGCCGCGGGTGAGACGCGGGGGTAGCCATCGCCCCGGCGGAGGGCGGCCCCGGGCATTGCGGCCCGAGCCGGGCGCAGCGAGGTGAAACGAGCCCCTTCGGGGCAACGGGTGGCTGGAGGTGGGGGGAGCGGGTTTCCTTGGGCAGGTCGCTAACAAAGACGTCGAGGTAGGCCGTGTCGGGAGCACGTCAGCCTTGGGTGTCGGAGCCACTCTTAGCCCACCAGCGGGCGCGCTTGTCCAAATCGCGGCCGCCCCCTCTTGGGGAGTATCGTTTGCCCCTGCCTTTCCAGTCGGAGTCCATCCATGGGGTTTCTCGCCGATCCCACGAGGTCCATTCTTGCCGGCCCTGCCGCTGGCTGGGCGCGGCAATACCGATGGCTCCAGTCCATGGGTCCTGTGCAGCCGCAGGCGCGACAGTTCGGATCTCGGCAGCCCATGGGGCAGGCTTGTCGCGGCTGTCGTAGTCGCGCGGGGCGTGTGCGTGAGCGTCATGCCGCACGGAGTTCATGTGCTTGTCCCTAACTGCAACCCAGTTTACGCCGAGCCTGAGCTCTCGGTCCATCCGATATGCATCATGGCCGGCGTTGTCCCATGCCTCCAGGAAATCCGCACACGCCTGGGGCGCTGGTGGGGATACTTTTTGGTTCGCGGCCCCAAAGCAAATGTCAGGGAGCGGACGCAGCGTCCGGGATGCGCTACGGAGCGAATGTGCGAACACAGCCGCCACTGTCGACAGCCGTTCGTACCTGCAAGACATGCTCGCAGTTGCACATGCACAGCACAAATGAACTTAATTCGCACACAAACGCACATAGGCGCAGCAGCGAACCGGAGGGCACGAGCTACAAGTGTGAAAACAGCAGAGTGAGTCGCCATTGCGGCGCCAGACTCAAGCTGACAGTGCGAAAGCGAGTGCGAGCGACCAGCACACACAAAGCGAAACCATGTACAATGGTGAAGCGAAAAGGGGGCCTGTCTCAACGAACTCACTGACAACACCACCAACACCGACAAGAATTATCCTGGCGAAGGCCCCAACCATATGCAGTCATGCACGCGGACGGTCCCGCCCAGGGCTTCGGCGGAGCTCCATATGGGGCCACGAAGCGCTTTACTGAGTGAGCGGAAGTGCCAAGTTGGGTTACCGGGGCGGCGGGGCGCATGCGGACGGCCCCACTGGGGGCTTCGGTGGGGCCCCCTGTGGGGCCACGAAACGCTGCGCTGCGCGGGTGAAAATGCCAAATTACATTTACCGGACGCATGTGGACGGTGGCACTGGGGCGTTCGGTGGAGCTCCCTGTGGACGCTGTACTGGGTGGGTGAAACGCAGGAAGGAGGGAGGGGAGGGCCACGAAACGCTGCACTGGGTGCGCGGGGCGCATGCGGACGGTAGCGCTGGGACTTCGGTGAGGCCCCCTATGGAGCCACGAAACGCTGTACTGGGTGTGCGGGGCGCATGCGGACGGAAGCACTGGGACCTTCGGCGGGGCCCCCATATGGGGGCACGAAACGATGCATTGGGTGGGTGAAACGCAGAGAAGAGGGGGAGGGGGCCACGAAACGCTGCACTGGGTGTGCGGGACGCATGCGGACGGTAGCACTGGGACCTTCGGTGATGTTCCCTGTGGGGCAACGAAACGCTGTACTGGGTGCGCGGGGCGCATGCGGACGGAAGCACTGGGACCTTCGGCGGGCCGCCCTATGGGGGCACGAAACGATGGGCCGCGAAACGCTGCGCTGGGTGCGCGGGGCGCATGCGGACGGTAGCACTGGGAACACATGCGGACG